TTTTAACTGATAGTTTAGAACCAACAAAGTATGAATAAAAAAACAGTCCAGGGACCCAGGGGACCAAAACCCAGAGCATACTATAAAACTACTGCAGTCAAGACAGACACATACATCAGTGAGTCAGAGTCCAGAAACAAGACTCACACAAACGATGTTCAACAACTGCTCTTCAACGATGCCAAAGGAAGGGTAAGAGAATGCGTATGAGTCAGGAGAGGGCTGCTTGTGGGAAAGGGGAACCAACAAGAGGGGTGTGGGGGTGTGTATGAGAGGCAACAGAGGAGGGGTGATAAAAACAGCACAAAAAGGAAGGTGTGTGTGTACAAATGTGCTGTAATGTGACCCATCACTGTGAATAACTTACAATGTAATTACAGAAAAAAAAAAACAACACAAGAATCCTAAAGATTCAATGGAGACACAGCAGCCTTTACGACAGAGTACAAAGACATTATTCATTCATCTGCAGAACAATGGCCCTTGTATTTTTATAAATGTTAACTCAAAATGAGTACCTGCAAGCCAGGCACAGTGACACACACCTGTAACCTCAGTGCCTGGGAGCTGGAGGAAGGTGGATCAGGAGTTCAAGTCAAGCCTCAACTACACAGATTCCCAGCAACCACATAATGGCTCCCAACCATCCATAACCCCAGTTCCAGGGGATCCAACAGGCACACATGGTGCAAAATATTTATACACAGAAAATAAATAAATTAAAGTTTTTTAAAAGAAAATGAAGACAGCAAAAAGTATCTGGAAAACACCTATTTTATAAAGAACTAATGTATCTACAATATATAAGGAGTATTTTACATTGTGTGTGTGTGTGTGTGTGTGTGTGTGAACCTGGAAGCCCACGCCTGACTCCAGTATCTTCTTTCTAGAACTCTCAACCTTATATATTGAGGCAGGGTCTCTTACTGAATCCAAGGCTTGCCTTTTTGCTAGGCTGGCTAGCAGCTTGCTCAAGAGATGCTCATCTCTGGCTCCCCCACACAGGCTATTATACACAACAGGGTTTTAGTGAATTCTTGAAATCCAGACTCTAATCTACACATCTGTGGGACAACTGCTTTACACTCTCTCACTAGCCTTTATATAAAGAACATTTACAAGTCAGTAACTAAAAATTTAAATAACCTTAGTAAAGAATAAACAAATGTTATAAACAAACACTACACACACACACACATACACACACACACACAGGCACACACACACAGGCACACACACACAGGCACACACACACAGGCACACATACACACACACACACACACACACACACACACACACAATGGGAGGAGCAGGCATGGGGGAAATGGGGGAGATTGGTTGGACTTATTAGGGAAATCTGAATTTAAATCACATTAAAATACTACTTTCTGTTTGTTTGTGTTTCAGACAGGGTTTCTCTGTGCAGCCCTGGCTGTCCTGGAACTCGATCTGTAGTCCAAGTTGGCCTTGAACTCAAAGATTCTCAAGAGTGCCTCTGCCTACTCAAGTGCTAGGATTAAAGGCATGTGCCATCGGTACTTGGCAAAATGCCACTTTATACCCTTAAAATCTAAAGCTTAGAAGACTAACAATAAAAAGAACAATGCACACCCCAACAAGGTAAGAAACAAGTGGAAGTGCTACACACCGCGGCTGGGCCTGAAGATCTTTGCATTCAGTTTGGAAAACCACCTACAGTTATTTACAAATTTCAACACACACTTATCCAAAGAGCAGACAATTGCACCTTGGATATTTAAAGAAATGACAACATATAACAACACAAAGGCCCACAGCTAATCATTCCTAGCAGCTTTATTCACAGTGGTGGTAGTTATTCAACTCTCCTTACATGGCTCACTGAACTGTACACTTTTATACTGGACTGCAGTGGACTGCTGAGGACGGAGCCAGGCCGCAGACATGTGGAGCCAATGCTCTACCACTGAGCTATCCTATGCACTGATCGTATACACTTTACACCTCAACAAGCCTAAGGTAAAACCCAACACATCTGAAGCCCTCCCTCCCTGACTCTGGGGCTGGTGTGAATACTTCTTCCATATGCTTTCTAACTCTATTTAAATGAACATCTTCAACTCACTGGGTCCTTAACATTGAGAACAAGAACTGGTAGAAAGTACAGATCACTCAATGAATCTGATCTCATCATGGCAGTCTACCTGGGTTTCTCTTTCTCTATAGCTCTGTGGGTCCACTACTCCAGTGTGTGCTGTAGCCTCTATTTCAGAGACAAGGCTAGGTTCACTCTGCTGATGATAACTTTCTGGTTGGCTTAAAACACACTTTTTCTGTGCCCTGCCACCCATGTGCTTCCCTGTATAGCCAACTTTCTAAGAAGCCTCCTGACTGCCGACTCTGAAATTAGCTCATGACACATGAGCACAGGATGGTGTTTCCAGACCACCATCAAAGGCATGTGTGAGTTAGGAAGCAGGATGAGGGCCATCTTCACAGCCAACAGCTCCCTGTAGGCCTGGAGTCATGCCACAACCAGGTTAAGAAGCACCACGTCCATGAGACATAGACACTCACAGATGGCAGACTAACAAGTACCCAGCGTGTGCCCCGGCCACCCAGAGAGAGAAGAGAAAGATCTAAACTGAACATCACTATCTGACAAGTGTGAATCCGGCAGCTCTAAGGGCTGGCACTAAAGCCCATGCTGAGTCACGCTCAGAATACTCCTAAAAGGACCAGCAGTAAAACACAAACAAAACTGAAAACGTGAAAGAGATGAAGCCATTTTAGGAGACTAGATGTTCACGAAGGAAGGAAGAGTGATGTTAAAGGCACAGCTCTGGTCACCACAGAATGACACAAAGTGAAGATCTGGCAAAACATTGCCTCACACATGTGTGGAACCCTGAAGAGATGAACTCAAAGGAGCAGAGAGAATGGTGATCGGCTGGGCCTGGAAGCAGGTGACGCATAGGTGTTTAATCAAAAAACTAAGTTTCCGTTAGAAAGTTTAAGCAATCCATTGTGGGACTAGGCATGCATGCAGCTCAGTGGTAGAGAAGTCCCAGCTTGCACAAGATCCTGGGTTTCATCTCAAGCACATCATCATCATAAGTAAATAATCAAATAAAAATGAAAGCATGGTAAACACGCTGAATGTGGCGATTTTTCAATCTGAAAAAATCAGATTTAAATTGTTCCTTTCAAAAGAAGTATCAGAATGTACATACTAAACAAATATTACCAAAACATTAAGTATGTTTATAAACAACCTACAGCTAACATCTTAGGGTAACATTTAACAGTAGTAACAAGAGTGCCAAAGCGGAGCAGAGGGCCAAGGGCGCCTGCTCAGATGTGCCTCTGTGGCACAGCACAAGGGGGAGCTCTGATGTTGGACAGACAGATCTGAACCTAAATCTTGCTTCACCCTACTAAGTGGTCTTCAGTACTTTCTTAAACTCTCTCAAGCTTCAATTTTCCCAATGGAAAACGAAGGGCAAAAAATATCGACCTTTGCAAAGCTGCTCTAAACTACATTAATTACAGTAACTTCTATACGGGACGGTAAATAGACTTTGCTTCGTGTGCAGTTCTAACAGACTCTGACACATTCTGGAGCTATCTGCAAGGACGATGGGGCGACCACTGAGCTCAGCCAGGAGAGGTTAACAGTAAGGAACATCAATCACAGGGCAAGAAAGGCAGCGACGGGCCCAGTACAAAAGGCACATCTGTCATCTCTGGACTCAAGGTGAAAGCAGCTCTTCCCGCTCCTGGGTGACCCAACTCTACTGGGGGAAAGGAAGATGTTTAATGGCGGGTACTTTGTTTCAACTTAATTTTCACAATCAAAGGGAGAATATCCAAGGAGGCCAAAGAAGCACAAGGAAAGTACATCCTCAAACACCCACATAATCACACACATACACACACACGCACACACACACACACACATACAACACTCACATATATGTACACACCACACACACACAACACAGACATGTATGGACATGCACACTAGGGTGCTTCTGAATTTCTAAAGTTTTTTTTTTCTTTAATCCTTTTTTATAGTCCAGTTTTCATCTCCCATACCTCCTCCTCTCCCTCACAACACCCACACTATCAGACCCCCCCCCCACTCCCTGGGGCCTAAAGTCTCTCAACGGTTACCTGCATCCTCTCTCACTGAGGCAAGACCAGGCAGTCCTCTGCTGTTTATGTGTCAGGGGCCTCATATCAGCTGGTGTATGCTACCTGGTTGGTGGCCCAGTGTCTGGGTGATCTCAGGGATCCATGTCAGTTAAGATTGCTGGTCTTCCCATGGGGTTGCCCTCCTCCTCAGCTTCTTCCAGCTTTTCCCCAATTTAACCACAGGGGTCCCCAGCTTCTATCCATTGGTTGGGTGCAAATATCTACATCTGACTCTTTCAGCTGCTTGTTGGACCTCTCATAGGGCAGCCATGCTAAGCTCCTATCTGCAAGCACTGAGTTTCTAAAGTTAAAGGTCCTTTGTGTTTGTTTCTGTTACCTATGTCTTACTCTAGCCCAGGATGTCCTGAAACTCACCATGTCCACCCAAAACTGGCCTCGAACATACTGAGATCCTCTGAGCCTCCCTATGCTATCGCAGGTGTAAGCCACCACAACTAGCTAAGGGCTTTTTTGTCTCAAATGTAGCAGAGTAAGTAATTTGAGTAAACACAGTATCACAAACCTACTTTGTTACTGACCTGGTTCTGTAGCAAGGCTCTGCTAGCTAGGAAATCTCTATAGACCAGACAGAACTTCAATTTAAGGCAATCCACCTGCCTGTTCCTTCTGAGTGCTGGGATTATAAGCAAGTATCACCAAGCCTGGAAAGTTATCTCTTTTTTTTTTTCTTGTACTAACTTACTTTTTTACTTTTTTCTTTTCTACTAACATCTATCATAACTAAAAACATAGAGAAGCATCAACAGAGGTAGGCAGGTTAGTATGTGGAGGACAACTCCTTGAACCATCACTCTGAAAATTACCTGTTGACCCAAGTACTTCAGCCCATCCAAGTAGACTTTCCACTCTATCAACAGCTGATAGGCCTCTTCCTTTCCACCCCAAATCTTCACCACAAAGCAGGACACAGATGTATCCAGACGGTCCGGCATTATTCCAAAGTCAAGACTCCTCCACGTTGGATTCTGTTGATGGAAATTAAAACATACTTTAGGAAGACTCTTAACTTCTTTACAAGAATTCCCATTAGACAGTAGATCATTTTGTTTTAATACTAAAAGAGAGGCTGGAGAGATGGCTCAGTGGATAAGAGCACCGGCTGCTCTTCTGGAGGACCCAAGTTTGATCACCAGCACTCACAAGGCAGCTCTACCTCCAGTTCCAAGAGACCTGGTGCCCTCTTGTGGCCTCTGCAATCAGCAGGCACACAAATGGTATGCAGACATACATGCAGGCAAAACACCCGCATACTTAAAAACTAAAATAAAAAAGAAAGACCAGAGCTGGCAGGGTGTCTCAGTGGGTAAGAGCATTTGCCACCAAGCCTGACAAACTGAGTTCAATCCCTAGAACCACGTGACAGAAGAAGAGCACCAACTCCTGCAAGCTGTCCTCTGACCTCCACTGTGCACTTGGCATGCTCAGACCCCCTGCTCCCTGACATACACAAAAGAAATCCTGTTTTAAAAGACAAAGGTTATAATAACAGAAGTGGGGTGATGACACCCCAGGATTAATCTGCTTATTAGAAACACTTATGCTGACCCTCACTGACGTGGCTTCATACAACACCTGCACTCATGTATTCAAGAAAATACATGATTACTAACAGCCAACACAGATTGACACACAGACACACAACTGGTCATCGTGGAGAGAATAAGAACACGTGCTGTGCTTGGCTCTAGCTGGGACAGCTGTACAGCATCCCTGCCTCCAAGGCTCAGGGTTACAAAGGATGAAGGGGTGCTGCAGTCAAACAATCTTTGCCAAGCATGTCAGAACCACTGCACACAAGCACTCACTGTGGCAGTGACTGTGCACCCAGGGCTTCACAAGACCAAGCTATGGGGAGAGGGTGGGGGTGCACTCATTGAGTTCCACCCCAAGCTGAGGAGTTTGGTAGCTGGTAATTGATAGCTGCTGGGGTTGGGAGAATGAATTTTCTTCAGGGATAGGGAAGGAACTGGAGAAGCAGTAAGGGGATAGGAGGTGATCAAACCACATTACATGCATGCATAGCATTCACAAACAATCAGGGTGGGCAATAGCATATAAGCAATGCCCCCAAAGGACCTTCAACTAAATCTCCACTTAAAATAGTCCTATCACTGGAGATGTAGCTGACAGTAGAGTGATTGCCTGGCAAGTGCAAGGCCCTGGGTGCCATCCCCAGTAGCGTAAACAGAAAAATTACACTGGAACAGTGCAAAGTCCAGTGACAGAATTATGCTAAAGGTTACACAACAGCACAGAACAAACAAGAAACTCTAAGAAGCAGGGAAGATGCCCAAGAGCACGGGAGCTTGGCTTCAAAAGCACAAATAGAATTTCAGCAGATTAAACTTGGCAATTCCAGGCAAAAGGAATATATTACCAGCTTTCAAAATGTGTGAGGCAACAAGTGTGAGCAGGGGCCTAAGAACAACTAACTGCCCAGCTGGAGAGACAAGCAAAGGAAGGCTCACAGGCTGTGCAGCCAGGTGAGGTGCCCAAAACCCTCTGAATGTCACCTGGCTTCCCTACTCCTCACTAGGAAGTCCTCGCTATCACCTACTTAAGCTCATGACGTGTTGCCTGGTAATAGTGTTTCAGTTGTTGTGACTGAAGATACTGAGACAGTGGACTGTGGGATTTAGACATGTAGCCTAGTCATGCACTTCCTACTGCACTGCCCTGTCCTCTCTTCACTGACAGAGGAGAGGAGTTAACTGACTCTCCCTGCCATTCCACACCTGTGGGCGGGGCTGACCGAGGCTCATTCATCCATCCTAACCTACTGTCTAATGATAACCTCTCTGCAGAGCTCAGTGGTCAGCCAGCGATTGTTGAGACATTGTGCCCAAATACCTCAAACCAGTTACCCCTGCCAACGGGTTGGTAAAATGCAAACAAAAGAAAATGGACGTGACAGCAAATGTTAAAACTAGTGCAAGATGAAAGTGACCTTTACAGATCAGCCAGGAAGGCACTGATCACCCAGTTACCTCTGGGCCAACGCTAGTTCTGAGCCTGAAACTAGGCTCCCCCTGCTTCCCGTTCCCCCCTGCTCCCCCCTGCTCCCCCCTGCTCCCCCCTGCTCTCCCTGCTCCCCCACTCCCCCCTCTGCCCCCCCCCCAACTCCCCCCTGCTCCTTCAGTCTTACTCTGAGCTTTGTACTTGGGTTTACACAGACAACAGCAAAAATGAGGAAGGAACATGTAACAGGCAACATAAGGGTACCTCCTAGTTTACCTAGTCTAGAAATGCCAGCGGAAAAAAGGGGCTTTTGAACCTATGGACCTAACTCGAGTTTTGAATGAGGAAGCTGAGGCCTCTGGGGACTCCCTAGTTACCTAGTCACTGACCACGCCTGCCTTCCCTGCCAACTGCCATGCTCTCCTACAGACACTTTGTAAGGCTGGGGGGCCTTCTTGACACTCTTCCCCTCCTAGTACCCTGGGGACACAGCAAGGATTCCAATATTTGCTGAATAAACAATACATTATATTCCAGGTACTATACTAAAGAAGTCCTAATCACCTGGAGGTAAAAAATCTTATAGTGGAAAGCAGAAATTAAGATTCCTTTAGAAATGGTGTCTGATGGGCATGTTTTCTAAATGGCCATTAAAAGCAGGTTGGTATAACTATCCCTAGAAAAAAAGAGCACCCTGAGCTATGATGTCTAATGTCCAGACGTTAACATTCCTTCTAGGCTCCACCCCACAGTTACCTGGCAACGGCCAAAAAGGGTCAGTTTCTCTCCATTCCCCCTCCCCCCTTTCTCTCCTCACTTGTTCCTAGCCCCAGGGTATCTATCTCTTTGTCTCCGCTTCTGTGTGTATGTGTGTCTGTCTGTCTTTCTCTCTCTTTCTCTCTCTTCCTCTCTCCATCCCTCCCTCTCTCTCTTTCTCTGCCTCTACTCCCTTCTCAACCCCCCTTCCCATGCCCCCAAATAAACTCTATTCTATACTATACCCGTTGTATGACTGGTACCTCAGGGGTAAGGGATGCCTCAACATGGGACCACCGAGGCACCCCTCCCACCTCACCATACCCTGCTCTATAAAACATATCCTGGCTCTTTTTATAAAACACAACACATATGCTCTTGGGAAAGTGCAAGTGAATGACTCTTCCAGCACCACACAGCACCAGGCTTTCCTTGTCTGCCATCCCTCCTCAAAGGCAGAGGTTTCTCCAGTGTGTTTAACTTAACGATTACAGTTCCTGGCATCCTGGGTGCCAGGTCCCTACTAGCAATGTGTAATTATCAGCTAGGTGATGGTGGCGCATGGCTCTAATCCCAGCACTAGAGGAAGTGCTCCTCTGAGTCTCCAGGACAGCCAGGACTACACAGAAAAACTCTGTCTCTAAATAAATAAATAAATAAATAAATAATTGTTTATTACCAGCATTGTTTTCTCTATACTGTTTAAGGACCACTAAATAGTCATAAGAAATACAACTAAAAAGGTATAAAAGCTGTAGCAATTTTTTAAAAACATATTCAGGGTATCTCTGTACAACTCATACTGGTTTTTTAATTAGTAGAAGCCCAGCAAACTCCATTCCTGGCCTTCCTCAGCTCAGCTCAGGCTTTACGACCCAGCTGACTTACCGCTAGTAACCTTCCCTGACTGCTCCCCTGACCCTGAGATAAATCACAGTCCTACGGCCTTCACAGAATCATCTACCTGAACTAGCCTGTCCTGGCTCCCAACTGTGGAACCAGAGGAAGCTCGAAAACTTGATGATGCTGCAATTTATTTACCCCAGGGTCACAGTCTTGGCAGGAGCAACATAGAAGCAGCTCAAATGTTAACATATTCAGCCACAGTTCCACTGAGGCACAGGTGCCTGGAGAACCCCTCCGGCCAGTAACTCACAAAGACATACTAATACTGCCCAGTTTCCTACCTCTGCTAAGAAGCAACTCCAGTCACGATCCCAGTGATCAGTCTGGTAAGTTGTATCTTGTGTTTTCTCTAAACATATCTGTTCTGGGCTTTGTTTATGCAATAGCAAGGCTCACTGACCTCTAGGTGAAAACAGCTGAAGGAAGTGGAGGAGCCTGGGGTTAGAGCCTCAGAACTTCAGTTTTATTTGTCATAAGCTGTGTGCAGCCTACATCAAGTTCCCTGGCCTGTTTGTTACTATGAAATAAGAATATACCTTACCTTGAAGCACTGTCATCAGTGGGAAATAATGTACAGAACACCTAACCTGGTCACAATTATGCCTCTTTACTAAAGAAACTTGTGTAGAGAATCTCCAAACACTGACCAGCTCTGTATAGCAAATCAACATTGGGGGCTCCAGATGGCCGCTCCCACTATTTTTCAATCATTTTGGTCACTTTATTGACTTGTCAATTATAGTAAGGATACAGTCACAAAAAAAAAAAAAAAAACCAACAGTAACAACAGAATAAACTAGGGGGAGGGTATGTCTAGCTGAAGCCAAAGGCAAACAAAGCAGAATTACCCCCATTACCTGTTACTAACTAAAGGAATGTGAAAACGAAATGGGACTCTGGCATACGTTCTCAAGTGTTTAACCACTAGGCGGCAGTCTTCCTGAAGCCCTGTGCCTATAAGCACACCCTTAAAAACAGCTGTAACTGTTATCAACTTTTTTCAGTTAGCCATATTGTTGGCATTAGATATTCTATCTGCCTCAATTGCAAAAAGCAAATAAATCCTGTATATGATTTCCATCAACATTTAAATGTTTAAATACATCAAGGGTTCCCAAAAACATAATCAGAATTCTCACAGAAATGCAGTGAGTAGAAACAAAACAGCAACAGTGTGAAACCAGCCAGAAGCCCTGGCCACTCCAGTGCATATCCACAGAACTGAACACCTACAGACTCCAGAGAAAGGCACGCATGCTCCAGCAGACACCCAGGTCAATATACACAGCAGCACAATGCTTGCTGGCTCAAACCAGAAGCCAAATATGCTCACCAACAGGGGAAAAAACGATTAGCTATTAGAATACACACAAATCAAATTCAGCACACAGGGCCAACTGATGCCGACAACCAAGCTGAAACATGGGTGTCAGTCATCAGGCACTTACTGCATGACTTCATTCACACACAACTCAGAAATGGGTGACCTGACCAGCAGCAGCACTGTGCACACACACACACACACACACACAATTTCAGAACAACCCTTTCCAGACAGAGACAAAGTGGGATGCTTGGTAGTTAGTTGTTTGGTTTTTGGGTTTTGGTGGCAGGGACTCACTGGGTAGCTGAGGCTGCCATTAAAACTCACAATCCTCCTGCCTCTTTCCTCCCAAACCCTGGTACTACAGGCATGTACCCATGCCCAGTTAGACATGGCCAGCTAACTGAACAAGGGTGTTATCACCCAGCAATAAGTCCTGTAATAAATACAGATTCAAAAATAGCCAAGCTCTTTATAAATGAAAATGGTGCAAATTTAAAGTTTACAACAATTAAAAAAATCAGTAACAACTGAACAACTGAGCAGACCTCAACTCAAACCACTCACATCTTATCAAACAGGGATACACTGCGTCACATGTACCTGTCAGGAAACAAACTTACCAAGGAATTCTTAATCACTTCACTCCTATAAAATTCTGGAAAAGAAAAAAAAGAACAGTAAGTGATATGAAAGACAATAATCTCATTAACTAAGCACTGTGAAGCTTTGACTTTACAGTTCTAGTAAGGTGTCTAAAATGATGTAGTGCCTGTCATCTTTACCAATAAGTATATATATATGTATATATATATAACCAAAATTAAGTAAAAGTGCTAAGGCAAGGAGGAAAAACATTGGTGACGCAGATCACAAATTGTCCAGATTTAGTCTCATAATTGTTACATGTCTCCTTCTGCAACATATTCTAATTTAAGCCCTTAAAAACTCAAACTTTCTTCTTTTCCCGTTTTCACTCACTTCTTTCTTTTCATGTGTACATGGTGAGCATGTACACACGTGTGTGGTCCTGCAGGGGACTGAGGTTGAGGTCAGGAATCTTTCCTTATTCTCTTTAAGACATGATATCTCAATCAAACCCAAAGCTTTTCAACACAACTAGTTTGGCCAGACAGCTTGATCTGGAGATCCCATCTCTGCCTTCTGGGGCTACGTTACAGGTGGACTGCCACGCTCACCTGGACATTATAGGTGGACTGCCAAGCTCACCCAGCATCCAGGTGGGTCCTGGGAATTCAAACTCCAGTTCTCATCTGCGCAGCAAGTACCTTAACCTCTGAGCCATCTCCCACGTCCCCACTGCCAGTCTCTATGACTGATTCTCTCTGGTCTTCAGGCACCTCTAGAACATTCCCTCATAGGAGTGTAGAATAAATACTGATTTAGAAACCACATGATCCAACCCTTATTTGTGCTTGTTGGTAACATTCCATCTCTTCAACTCCATCAGGCCCTTTCTCAACTTGGAAATTTTGGATAATTGAAGTTCTTGTGCAAGCATTAAAATTTTATGATTCTGGGGCTGGAGAGACAGCTCAGTGGTTACAAGCTCTGACTACTCTTCAAGAGGTCCTGAGTTCAACTCCCAGCACCCACATGGTGGCTCGTAACCATCTGATTCCCTCTTCTAGTGTGTGTGAAGACAGAGCACTCATATACATTAAATAAATAAATACTTTAAAAATTGTCATGATTTGATAAACCTTCATATATAGTCACAAATGTTACAAAGCCCAAAAACAAAATAAAACTATGCTATAGGTTCTGACAGACATTCACAACAACCCTCCAGTGTTCCACAGACACCTACCCAATAATCTCCATGCCACTGTCAATGCAGACCCTAGGAGACTCCTGGAGTCCCCTGATGCTACAGGACAGTATTTCCCTCATGTGATTCACACAATACTGGTACTTAAGATGAACTGAGGCATAAAACGTGGACAGATACCTTTTTCTACCAATTGAAATGTGTGCCTGGAGATTCCACTTGTTACTGTGGGCCTATACCCTACAACTACCATCTTCTCAAAACTGTCTCTGGTACAGGGGTAGACACTCAGCCAATTTTGCTTTTATGAATGAACAAGGACATTCCCAGGGAGCCCACTGATGTCCACCTTTTGGGGGGCTTCGAAAAATAGAAAAGTGAAGCTCTTCCGGCAGCTCTGGTGTTAAGGCATTCCTTGCAGACAGGCTACTTTATCCTCATCTTCCAAACAAAAGGTCACTTTTACTGTACGTTTTAAGAACTACTCACAATACATTAAGTGAAAGAACAGGTTCTGTGAGAGGATTTACAGCAGGATCCAATTTTTCTAAGTAAGCTAACAATTTTTATCTTAGTTACACCTGTAGGCTACTTACATTCACTAGCTGAATGATGGTCTGATTTTCTTTTTAATCATGAATAATTGTTTGTGGTAAGTTATCTCTGATGGTTAAATGAGTCAATTCAAGCATTAAAGTACATAAAGGCAGGTTTATTGGGAAACAGCTCTCTGGTGGGTTCACTGGTCCCAAGGAACAAGGCCAGGGCAACTGAGGAAGGGGGGAAGAGAAAGAGAGAAAGAGTGTGTGCACCACAGGGAGAGAAACTAACATGTCTGATTTATAAAGGGAAGAGCTTTTGGGGAAGGGGAAGCCCAGCCCCACAGAGAGGGCAGTGTATGCTAGCCAAGCCTTGTAAGAGGCAGGGACTGAGGGATGTTGGGAGACCCTGGAGCCCAGGTCCACTTTGGTATGTAAAATGTATCCTGGGTATAAATCCCAAAACTAGGAAATACGAAAAGAAACTTCTATGATTTTAAAAGGGAACATACTGAATTTTAGCATCTTTCAAATAAAGCTAGAAATAAATTATCATTTAAAGATATATAACCTAAATAGTGTGGCTCTAGAGAAACGACCATTAGAAACAAAACTGTGAGACCGAAGAGCAAACGGGTTCCATGATAGCTACGACAGACAAGTCACTCTCTAAATTGTGCAATCCCTGCACTTAAGGAAGACTCACTTCCCCAGCTCCCTACAACTCTGTTCTTTCCATTCACTCTCACTCATCAAACACTGCAGCCACTTACCACATGTTCCTGAGTATACATGTCCGTGTGTGTGTGTGTGTGTGTGTGTGTGTGTGTGTGTGTCTGTGTGTGTGTGTCTGTGTGTGTCTGTGTGTGTGTGTCTGTGTGTGTCTGTGTGTGTATCCAAAACAAGATTGTAAAGGGGTGTTCCTGCATCTTCATTTTGTTTGGGTTTGTTCCTATTGTCACTATCTGTGGTCTTGGATCAAACCCAGGGCCTCATGTATGCAATGCCAACATTCTAGCCCTAAGACTTTTTATTTAGCAAGGTATTTCTTACTTTCTAGTTAATACATGTTATTTACTTATTCATTTAACTGCACTCATTTTATTTTACTTTGTTACAAGAATGTATTGCTTGAAGGTGGTGAGAAACTAGGCTGGGAGTGTGAGGGCCCGAAGGGAAGCACTTGCCTCACTTGCATGAGGCCCTCTCTTCAATCCCAGCGACAGATTAAAGAGATTAAAATATAAAAATAAAATCAGTGAGAAGACAACAAAGACATTTTAATTCTTTTGAAAAAAAAAAAGAATTATTCAGCTTCCTGCAAAGAACCTAAGTTAGACAGTTCTCACAGCTCTGCTCCCCACTGCTAGAGAGGAACAGGGTTACTTCTTCTAAAATGTTGAGTGGCTGACTCTGTAGATAAACCCAAACTAGGCAATTTGCCATGTCCATTAGTGCTCCAAACTAGACAGGCTGACCGAAAGGACGGAGCCCAACACAGGTCCATAGTCCCTGTGAAGAGACCAGAGGATGTGAGCCGATCTCCAACACACTAAGCCTGACCTATGCTACAATACTGTTACATCTAAAACAGCACAACAGCAACAGGGCAATGAATACGGAATTTTAAGAATAAAATAAAACACACTCAGCCCTCAGTCTCCCATGTAAGATTAATGACCTATGCAGTCATCAATGGTCAATCATCATCTCATTCCTTCCAGAGCAAAACAGCACCCAGGAGATAACAGGGCTGTTATACGGCTCAAATTAAATAGTAGCCTAAAAACACCTTATGAGCCATAATGTTTATTAATAAACTTCTACACATTTTATTCCTCTCATTTGAATAAAGTCATTTGCCAAGTAGAGCCTCAAAGGGTCCTATCAGAGCCTTGTGTCCCCTCGGATCATTACATACCAGAGCTTTTCTAGACAGCCATGCCCACACCTAAAGACCAGAACAGCCACACTCACACCTAAATGACCAGGCAGCCATACTCACAACTAAAGAACTAGACAGCCATGCTCACACCTAAAGAACCAGACAGCCATGCTCACACC